GGCTGGGGACTCTAGACCCAGAGAGGGAGAGGGGCTGTGTGCAGACGACCAAGGAGCAGGTGTCCAGTGTATACCCTTTGGTTGGTTGATGATACATGGAGAGGATTGTTACCATGGCAATGAAACTATATAGATAGGATGACTGTAAAGCGAATGTTCTCCCATGTAAACAAACACATCATTCATAATAAAACATTAAAACAAAACAAAAAAAGAGTGTGTGGGGATGATAGAGTCTCCAATGAATAGTTTTCATCTTGTCTAGATGGGTCTGGTTAAAAGAGATGGGGATAAGATTCTTATCATTCAATAGTGAGTTAATTGTTATCATGACCAATTGCGACTGCCACATTGTAAAGGTAGAAGTTTTTTATCAAAATCGTGGAGTAGTTAATCTTATAGTCCCCTAGGACCATCAGTGGAAAAGAGACCCTATCCAGAGAAGCAGCAACACCAGAAATGGAGACAAAGATGAACACATGAAGAGAGGAAGCAGCTGAGGACTCTAGATTCACGGGAATAGAGGGACTGAGTGCCGGCAGCCAGGAGGTAGGCTTGCAGAATGTGCCCTTTGGTGGTTTAAATTATATATTCCTGAATGTTTTTGTGTACACTCCTCTACCTCCACCACCACCACCACCACCCCCCAAAAAAAAAAAAAACAACAACCAGAGGAAATGGAAGCAAATGCTGTTGAATGATAATACACAGAGGAGATTGTAATCACTGCAATTAACCAATGGTGTAAAGCCAATGTTCTCTCATGTAAAGTATCACTCAGTTCACAATTTGTAAAAATATATAACCAGAGAGTTCCTTAGAACTGAGGATGGCGAGACTTGGTCTCACATATTTTGGACATGTGATCAGAAGGGACCAGTCCCTGGAGAAGGACATCATGTCTGATAAAGTAGAGGGTCAGTGAACAAGAGGAAGACCCCCAATGAGACAGATTGACACAATGGCTGCAGCAATGGGCTCGACCCTGGCGATGACTGTGAGGAGGGCGCAGGGTGGGCAGTGTTCCGTTCTGTAGTGCTCAGGGGGCTCTAAGAGTTGGAACTGACTCGACGGCACCTAACAACACAACAACAAATTCCCAGCTGTCTAAAACCCACGTGGAGGAAAGACTCCTGATGCTCTGAAGCCTGTCTCTGATTCCAAGGGTCACAGTCTCCAAAGGACATCAACAAACACGGACATGCTAAGAGGAGAATAACTCTGGTGGGAACAGAAGGATCAGTTCCCACCTGAGTTGCTCTCGTAACATGTCGCTGTTAAGGGGGTCAACTGGTAAACCGGGTGCTAGGATCAAGAGTTCAGATCCTAGTCTTACACATTCCCTGTAGGGTTCCAGTTTACAAAGAAAAAAAGAGACAACATTACTTCAACTTCTTCAAATAGCTCTTCTCACCAAATGTGAGAATCATTAATTTATTACTTGCCAAACGTTGGGTTTCTAGTGTCTTTGTGTAGGAGTGTAGGGCCCTGGACATTCTTAAACAAGAGTATTTGTATGTATGGACACATGTGTCTGTATACCTTTGTGTGTCTATGCATGTTCATGACTCTGTCTGTGTATACGCATGTGTGTCTATGTATGTTTCTCTGTGTGTGTACATGTCTGTCTATATGTGTCTCTGTGTATGTTTGTGTCTGTGTGTGTATACGTGTCTGTCTATGTGTGTACATATCTGTATATATGCATCTGTAAAAACCATGTAGAGAGGGTACAAGGCTACCAACAGCCTTCCTACAGAAGACCCCCACCCTGGCATCCCCAGGAGGTGACTCTGGAAGGAGTTAGCTGGAGTCTGATTGGCATTTTTTTTTATTTGACTGCATTTTCCAAATTCCCTACAATGTGCCTATGGTATTTTTCTAATTACAAGGGAACAATAAACAGAATTTTTAACAGCCAAAAAAAAGAGTTAAAGGGAATACAGGTAAATAAATCAATTGATGCTACATGGAGGGGACTACAATATTGAAACTAAATATAGACTTGTTGAATGTAAAACTGATGATCTGCTCTGTAAACCTTCACTCAATTCACAATAAAAAGTTAAAAAACACACCAAAGTACATAATAATCCTACACATGTATACACCCAAACCAAAAACACAGAACGATTCCTCTCATTGTTAAATGGAGCGTCAGCATTCCTGAACCTAAACTGAAGACTGGCAAAATGGGACTTCAGATTTTCTTACTGTAATAAGTGGCATACAATTTTACTAACAAAACTGCAATGTTCCTAAAAAAACAACAAAGCAATGTTCCCCAGAAGGATCAAAGGTAGTAATGAGTTAAGCAGTTTATCAAAAGAATGACTGTCACTGGGACCCAAACGGATCAAAATGATCTAAAGCTGACTCACCTTTCATATTGCCTGTCTCGTGGTAAGGAAACGGTCCGATGTCTAAAGTCCACAATTAGCATAAGTAAAAGGAGACAGGATACGAAGAAAAGTCCCAGGAATGCCACTCGCTGACGGAGAAATGGACTCACTGTGGGCACAGTGAAGTACCAAGAGGCTGGGCAGAGATAGGAAAAACTGATCCTGAAATCAGACAAACGTAAGTTAAGTTTGAAAAACGGTATTTAAATCGGATAAAAGCTCTTCCTAATAAAGGCAATAAATGCATGCCAAAAGAAGTCGAAAAATCCCTTTGGTCTTGAATTAAAAAAAGACTTATATGGTTCATAATGTTTCTACTATATAACTGTCATCTCAAGAATTCATCTCATGTTAATAAAAAGGGCCTTAGTTTCTGTGGATAACCTCCCAGCGCTCAAGAAGCAGCTATGAAGAAACTGGATACTCAGAGAATTTAATCAAACAAAAAAAGTTTTTTTTAATTAATAGGTAATACATGCATGTGGTGGGAGCGTGGTGGCTCTGTATAATAAGCACTGGATTGCGAACCACATGCCACCAGTCACTCTAAGGGAGAAAGATGACGCTTTCTGCTCCTGCAAAGATTATTAGAAACTCTATATAGGTGGCAATGAATTGAACCAACTTGAGGGCATTTGACAACAAGCACAAGATAAAATAAAGAAATAAAACAATTCAAAAGGGTATACAGTATAAAGTGAAGCTTCCTTCTTGACATCCTTCTCTCAGAGGTAATCATTGTTACTCCGTTTCTATGTACTTTTTAAAAGATACTTTGTTGTTGCTGCTCACCACCCTGTTTCTGAGGCGTGTTTGGTGAATCTGCATCACAGACCTTATGGTGAGCAGTCCAGTGTTTATCATACAGTGCCACACCAGGACTCCAAAGGACATTTTATGTACACACGGCTGTAAATATATATCAATATTTAGAGAAATTACACATGTGTTTGTGTTATGTGTGTTTGCCCATTCCTTCGTTTTAGACTGTTCTATATCTTGGTTCCCCGTCCACGCACAATGGTCCCATGTTGGCATATATATATGCTGTTGTTAAGTTCTGTCAAGTTAATGCCAATGCATAGTGAGCCTGTATAGGGTTTCCAAGGAGCAGCTGGTGAGCTGGAACTGCTAGCCTTGAAGTTCAAAATGACATTGCAGTCCAGCGCATTAACACACAGCACCACACCAGGACATGTTAATCATTTTATACTTTCTAGTGTCGACAACAACAACAATATCATAATGGATGTGAAATTCACTTTCTATATTGCTTCAAAAGAACCTCAACTGTCTGCTTTCAAAATTCATTGCAAAAAAAACCAAAACAACGTTGAACACCCTTAAGGGGCACCATGATGAGAATCCGACTCATGGTACCATATGGACCACAGTAGAACTGTGCTCCACAGGGCTTCCCATGGCTAATTTTTCAAAGGAGATCTTTCCAGGCTCCTCTGGCTGGATTCCAAACTCCAACTTTCCAGTTAGCAGCTAAGCATTTTTGCACCAGTATCTAAAAAATCAAACCAAACCTGATTCTGACTCACACCAACCCTATAGGGTTTCCAAGGCTGTACATCTTTATGGAAGAGGTCCGTCGCATCTCTCTCCCAGGGAGTGGCTAGTGGGTTCAATGGAAGACCTTTTAGTTTAGCAGCCAAGCACTAGTGACTGCACCAGGGGGCTCCTGCACTTGCACCTAGCCTCACTCCAATGGAAATGCCAGAGAACATTACAGCTGAGCACTTACTGGGATGGAGTGAGCACGCACTCTCCATCACCTCACGGTTATGGGCTAGAAACTAATATGGCATCTGTCTTCAAAAGAATACTACTCTGATCTTGGAAACCATCTTAACAAGATGCAAAGTCCATTTACAGTCCCAGGGCAAACCTCACTTGTAACCACCTCCCAGGGTCCTCCAACTTGCCTGTCATCCCCCACAGAGGGAGAAAGGTGTGTCATCTTACCTAGCCATGGGTTCCCTGCGGTAGTCTCAACACCTGTCACCTCCTTTTTCTTTTGCCCTGAGAATGTGGCCTCCTTGTCCCAGGCATCTCTTAAATCTGCAGCCTGGAAAGAGTTGGTTGGGGTTTAGTCTCTACTCCAGCGGCGCCCACGCAACCATACCTCCCTGAGAAGGTCCAGGCCCCCACCGGACCTGTCCACTCCAGACCCATCCACTATTGTTCCTCGGGCCGGGAAGACCCCATCCTGGCTCCGGGGAGAGCCAGCTCGGTCCTATAGGAACCTCGAGGAACCCGGTACCGGTGGGGATCTCCGCTTCTCCTGCCCGCCCCTCCCAGGCCCGCAGCCCTCCCGCACCCACACTCACGGGATCCAGCGGCCCGCAGGCTCCCTCTGCACCTCTCGGTTGGTCCAGATCGCTCCCCGCGTCCCTCAGCTCAGCCGGAAGGAGAATCCCAGCCGGCTAAGTGCAGCCACGTCCCCAAGGAAACCGCAGGGAGCCAATGACCGACAGGGAGCCGGGGAGACTGACCGCCCTCCAACCCAGGAGCTGGGGACGACTCAGTTCCGTCAGCCGCACGTCCGTCCGCCTCGGTGACCAATCCTCAAAAGCGCTGCGCCTCTCATGCCCGCCCCGGGATTTCAAGTTGCGTCCAATCCCGGAGGGTGTCGTCCCGAGGTTCCGCCTCGCGAGGCCGCCAGTGGGCGTCCAGGTGTGGGCTGAGCAGTGTTTGGGCCTTGCAATCCTGCCTCCGCGAGCTGCGAGCTCTTGGCCGGCTTGTATTCGCAGAGCCGAGGTGTTCGCAGAGCCTAGCAGCTGTGGCGGGTGGCTGGGTCTCGGAGAGTTAGCTACAGCAATGTGCCCTTCACCCGTGACCAATTGGAGGTTTAGTATCCAGCAGCCCTCCCTACCCGAAACCTCCCCTGTTGCCTCCCAAAATGATGCCCAGCCTCCCTGCCTTATCCTAGGAGAAAAACATAAATCGGGAGCATCGAAGCGCTAACATCTTTTCATTGAACATCTGCTATATGTCAGACTCTAGGAGCAGCTGTATTCCTGCAGTACTACAGACAGAGATAATGTTCCCTTAATGTTTTCATTCTTCCTTGTTTACACCTGCAGTCCTTTCATTTCTTGGAGGCAGTCACTTGGACAGAATAAAGTCCACGCTCCTTCAAACGTGGCACATCCGCAACTGGCCTCAGCCACATCTACTGCAACTGGCCTCAGCCACATGTACTGCTGCGCCCAGCCTCCCTCAGCAACGCACCTCAGTGGTTTCTGCCCGCTTTCCTCCCCCTGCAGCCCTGCCTAGACGAACCATCCTCTGCCTCGTCTCCTGGCCAACTCCTAAGCTTACACTCAACTCAACGGTCACTTTTTCTAAAAGGCTTACTTGACATATGCCAGTTATATACACAAGGGTATGTCAAAAAACATAACAGCTGGTGGGTTGATCTGCTGACGTTGAAATTAGCAGTCCAGTGCTTATCCTACAGAACCCTCATATACCATATACCACCTTATCAAACATGATATCCTTCTCCAGTGACTGGTCCCTCCTAACAATATGTCTGAAGTATGAAAGACGAAGTGTGCCCATTGGAGCACTCTGGCTGCACTT